AGAGAGAGAGAGAGAGAGAGAGAGAGAGAGAGAGAGAGAGAGAGATTTATTTGGGAATGGGGATGCTGAGAGCTCTCCCAGTGCTGAGTAAAAGCTTTCAGGTAATCCTCCTGAGTTAATTCCTCATTCTTTCATTTATCATTAGGTTGCGCCATGTGAATTGCCAGTATTCTACTATTTTTGACCTTTAAAAATGGCAAGCTCATATAATTCAACCTAAGAGTTGCATGATTTTGAGCCAGCATCTTGGTCTCTCTGAGTCTCAGATTCTTCTATATAGTGGAGTCCAAAGCAGAGCTATGGGGAGGATTAAATGAAATAAGGTTTGAAAGTGCCTTATGTAATTTATACTCCAAAGTACTCTTGGCAATTTCAAAGCATTCTCACGTCCCTCATCACACATGCCCTCATTCAGCAAATTAAAAACTAAACTTGAGAAGGCTTTTTTGGGGCAGTATAATGTGATGGAAAGCTCACTGGTTTGGACGTCAGCACGGGATCCTCACAGAGATCTTCTTAATCTCTCAGTTTCCCATCTCCAAAGTTGGGGTGATTTTCCTTGCTTCATGGAGTTCTTGTAAAAATTAAAATAAATAATAAATAAAATAAATAGTGTGTAAAAGCTCTTCGTGTGGGAGCTGGCTTCTAGGAGGATCTAATATATGCACCCTTTTCCTTCCCCTTAGCTTCCCATTTGTAAAAGCAGGGCAGAGGTGAGATGGTTTCCTGGGGTCCCTTTTGTCTCTCAGGGACTTTGTGAACTGTGCTTTAATGCCCTTTCCTGCTGGAAGGGTTGGCACTGGATTTGGTGACCTCTTTCCCCCATGCTGTGTCCCCTGCCAGTCCCAAAGGAGACCCCATTCTTGCATTTCACAAGATTCTGCTGCTGTTACTGAAATTCCAACAGCTCAAAGTGGAATTTCTCATACATTTTAACATATGAAAATGGGACATTATACTACAGCCCTTCAGGATCCATAGAATATTAGGAACATTCCCTTGTATATTTTTTAAAAGCGAGTAAATGCCTGTACACGGTGTGCCATGAAAGCCAGCGTGGTGAAAAGAATCCAGTCTTTGAATTTCAAAGTGCACCTCTGCACTCTTTCCTGTTATCCATGGGCAGAAGTTACCAGATCTCTCTGGCCCTCAGATTCCTTTCATGGGAATTGAGACCTACCTCCTGGAATTGTGGGGATGAAATAAGATTAAAGGGGTGATCCATATAGGTGATCCATAAATGTTCGTTTGCTTCCCTTCTCTTCATTTATATGTGTGGATCACCGTATAAATTTATAAAATACTTTTTCATACTTCTAGGCAATTGGTTCTTACAATAATAATGTGAAATTGGCTAAGAAAGGATTAATATCATTAATAATCACATTTGCAGGCAAAGAGCATGAAGTCCAAGAAGGGGGGTGAAGGAAGGAAGTCACTCAGTGAGTTAATGGTGGAGCCTAGACTAGAAGCCAGGTCACTTGCATCATGACCTGGAGGTTTGTTCACTCTGCTGTCTGTCATATCCCCATCCTACGGGGTGGAATAGTAAAAGGCAGATGTGTGACCCTAATGCTCTTTTCCTTCTCTGGATTATGCCAAAGAGTCCATTGTTGGGCTTTGGAAGACCAGAGTTTGATTTCCAACTCCTCTACATTGTAGTCCTGGGATTCCGGATAAGTTATTTAACATCCCTGAAGCCCACTTTCCTCATCTCTAAAATGGATATAGTTATAGCTAAGATTTATTGAGCACTGACATGTGCCAGACACCGTTCTGAGTACTTTATATGGACTATACCACTTAATCCTCCAAGAAGTATATGACTGAAACATGTTACAGGTAAAGACAAATTATTTTCACCCAAGCACTGAGATCATAGAGCATGTTCTCCCCGTTCTACCACACACTGTCTCTCAAGATGGTTGTGAGAATTAAATGAGATATTAAGTAAGGTAAGAACTTTATAAATGGCATTCTACAATGACAAAGAATTATACATGGAACTTGGGATTTAGCTTCATGATACATGTACAAGTTTTCTTTATACACACGACCGAGTCTTAGATTGCAGCCTTAGATTACAGTTTCATTTCATAATTTTTTTTTCCTATGGAAATAGAATTCTTTCAAAATCAAAGTGTAACAATTGCTGTATTTAAACAAAGTGTACACATAATTTTAGAATAGTTTGTTTGAAAACTAGGCAGCTCTGCACTGATCTTCAATTGTTATCAAATGCTGATTTTTCCACCCAGAACTAGGTTAGAAGACAACCTTTCCCTTGACTCAGAATCTGTTTGTAGCATCAGAGATTCCTACAATCCTGTATCCATCTTCTCCCCACCCCTCCTTTCAGTACCTCCTCCCCATGCTACTGTCATGGAACCCAATTGTTCCTGTTAGTGGAAAAATCTGTCCATAACACTGAAGTGTTGAGGACAGAATGCCTTTCCTTGGGCTGGGAGAATGTACTCCTTTCAACAGTTTGGAGGAAGCCCCCCATCACCCTTTATCTCTGGGGCCCTTTGTACCTGCCTCCACCAGTTCTCACATTCTGGATTCTCTTCTCCTATGTCCCTATGGACAAGAACACAGCCCCATAGATTCTGCCTTCCTCATTTCTGGAGAAAACAAGCACAGAGTCTTTCAGAGTTCTTCTTAGGAGTTTTATTGCTAACTCCAGAAGGAGAAAGAATGGCGGTGACAAATAGTGGAAAAGTTTAAAGACATATGAAGTCTTAAAAGTCTCAGAACAAGTATTCTTCCTACATACAAAAAGGGTTCAGGTGGTCTCTCCTCCTTGTCTTCTTATTTAACTCTCCTCTTTCTTCTCTTATCCTGGGACAAGCTAAGCCTAATCTGTCTCATTTTATTTCCAGCAGCTATTGAGAACACCTTTCTGAGCCCTCCAAATCCAGTAGAGGGCGACAAAGATATATGTAGATAGTAAGAGTGAGCCTTGACTAGAGACTCCACAACCAAGGAGCAGCATTGGTGTCTGTCAGCACCCATCTCAGCTGCTGTGTTGCCTCTGTCTCTCTGTCTCTCGTCCTCTCCATTATCTGGTCTCATTCTCAATTCTCACTTTACTTATAAGATCACATTAGAACTTGATATTGATAAATGATGTATCAGATCACTAGAGAGGGAACATATTAATTCAATTAAAGGTGTCTTTAAATAACTAGTCTGCAAATAGGGAGGAATCATTTGAGTATTTTAGATCCCAACTTACACCAAAACAAAATATCAGAGGTGGATTAAAAAGTGAATTTTAAAATTTACCAAACAATAGAAGAAAATAAAATAGGACATTTACCAAACCCTAGCATGGATAAAGACTGTTCAACTCTTAGAAGCAAAGAAAAACATCAACATACTTGACTGTATAAAAACTAAAATTTCTGTCACTTAAAAAACAGTATAAACAAAACAAAAAAATGATCTGCACACTAGAGAAAATAGTGACAGCATATATGACAAAGTTTTGGCATAAAGAGCTCATACAAATTAATTTTAAAAAATACATTGTGTCCCTAGTAAATTAAGTGACAAAAAACACTAACAGAGGTATCATGAATGAGGAAACTAGGATAAGAAAGTATATTAGAAAATAAGCTTTTAATAAAATATACAACTCACTAACAATCAAAGTAGGAAGGCACTATTTCTTTTATTCATTAAACTAACAAAAAAAACCAAACCTGTTTTTAATGATAATATCCAAAGCTGGTGGGAGTGGTTAAGATAGGCTCTTTTATATACACATTGACATACTGCAGTAACAGTATAACAGTACTACCGGGTAACAGTATAACAAACTACAATTTGGGAATGTGCATTAACAGCTTTAAAAATGTTTGTACGTTTTGATCCAGTAGTTTTCTTTTGAGAATATGTCATAACAGAATAATAATTTGAGAATAAGCTATATGCCTAAGGATATTTGTTATTGATTTAAAATAAAATTTAAAATGGAAATAAGCTACAAATTCAACAAAATGGAAATGGTTAAGTATATTTTGGTTGTATTCATTTGATGGACTAGCACACATACATTTAAAATAATGATTATAAAAACTAGAAAATGACAAGGCAAAAATGAGGAAATAAAATTCCTACATAAAGTATGTTTTCCACTATGTTTGAAAAGCAACAGAAATTCTTGGGATGGAGAATTGTTTTGTTTTCTCTAGTTTCCAGAGTGTTTCTATTACTAGTTTTAATGTCTGTGTGAGTGTGTATGTAAAAGGTGACTATATATATGAATGTATATGAATATGTATATATATGATGATGAGTATATATATGAAAGATGAGTTGGTTGTGTCACTCAGAGTCTTTCCTGCATCCCTCCCAAAGGAGCTGTCTCCTAAGCCAAACCCAACTCTGGAGACTGTGTAAGCTATAAGAAACAGGCCAACTGATGAACACTAGTGAGTTTTTAGGGTAAAAACATGCTCATGGATTGTGTTTTGGTTAGAGTCAGGTTCTTGGGATTAACCACCTCTCAAACTCCACAGAGGGTCTTAGCAATGCCTGTAGTTCAGGATCCTAGGGCCCATTTCTCTCTCAGTGGTGCTTTCACCTCCCTGGTGAGAGAGGGACAGGGACACTAAGACCCTGGTAATCCGATGTGGGGGCTAAGGTCAGCTTACCAGCAGAAGCTAGAAGGGAACCAGAGTTCCTATGCATGTAAAGGACCATCTTCTGGGAGGGGCTATTAAAGGATGATTCTGAGACAGAGAAATCCTTGGCTACCTGTGTCACTTGAGCTTTTTGCCAGGGCTCCCATAATACATATTTCAAATATACTCCACCCTCCCTTCTTCTTTTCCTCTCCTTTTCTCCTTCCCTTTATTCTTCCTTTCATCCTCTCTCTGGCTTTATGCTCTTTTGTTTTCATTTAAAAAATATTTATTTAGCCCCTACTCTGAGCTGGTAGTATGTTAGGCTTTGCTACCCCTCCTTGCTCCCTGCGCAGTGCTTGTAGTTTAATGGGGGAAATGGGTGAGCAAATCAGGGACTACAGTACAGCGCAAGAAGTGCAATGCTAGAGATAAGTGAGGGCATGGAGGGAGCAGAGAGGAGGAATAATCAACCCAGTTGGGGGAGGAAGAATCAGGAGGGTCTCCTGAGAAAAGACATCTCAACTATGCCCTGAAGGCTGTGTAGGGATCAGGCACATGAGGAGGTGCAGTTAAGGGTGGTCCAAGCAAAGAGCCAGTGGATAGTCTCATAGGACAATGTGTCTCTGATGATCTGACTAATCCAAGGCAATTCTGTGTGTGTGTGTGTGTGTGTGTGTGTGTGTGTGTACATGTGCGTAAGATACCAAATGGTTTAATTTAAGGAGAAAGGGAGAGGAAGAAAGAGAATGGGAGAAAAAGGAAGAACAGACATAAATGAGGGAAAGGGAAATGAAGAAGGAAAAGGAAGGAGCCTAGAGAGAGAAGTTGGTGAGAGCTGAATGGAATGACCTGTCAACATGCTTGGAAAACTCAAGGGAAAGATTCTTGACACGTTGCCTCTTGGAGCTTTCCCTGTGCCTGGTCCTCTGCTCAGATATGATGAAATTGGTGGGATGCTGTCCTGTCATCACCGAACTTACAATTCTGTTGAGGAAAGGAGACTACACACAAGGAATGATGCTGAATACTGCAAATTTCAGGGAAGAAAGAGATCAAGGTTGGTTGCAATAGTCAGAAAAGTCTTCCTGGAAGAGCTGAGTATTGGGAGAGCAGGTCTCAGAAGTGGACTCTGCTGAGATGGCCCGAGTCTTGTTTAGGTCCTGAATGGGTGTGCTGTGTGGGGTCTGCTCTCTCATGGCTGACACTGCAGGTCCAGATTCCAGGGCTCAGGATGCTGTTGCTACAAGCTGTTCTACTGCTACTAGTCCTGCCCAGTCACGCCCAGGAATTCATAACTGAAAAGCCTGAAGCCCTGCTCCCCCTGCCCAAAGGGGTCTGCACTGGTTGGATGGCAGGCATCCCAGGACATCCTGGCCACAATGGGATCCCAGGTCGTGATGGCAGAGATGGCGCCCCTGGTGAGAAGGGTGAAAAAGGAGATGCAGGTAAGAACAAGTTTTTTTGACCTCCTCTACCAGACTTCTGGGTAGAGGAGTGCTTCTAGAACTATATAAGGGTGTTGTTATTGACTAAGGCCTAGACACAGGGAAGAAGCAAAACATTCTGATGTGACCCATAAGCAACTTAAAATGGATTTGGAGTTGACCTTTCAGTGGTGAGACTATGTGGTACCTGTAAAATCAAATACCCTTGACTCTGCTCCATCCACATCTCCTTCCCCATTTCCTTTCTCATCCCCACCCTCATCCATCCCTATTCCCAATCTGTTAACATTCCTATTGCCATGCATTTCCACTTAATTCCCATTCCATCCAGTGACATTCAACCACACTTAGAGTATACCTCCTGCAGGTCACAGTCCTGCTCCTGGAGAATTCTTGGTCTAGTTAAGAAGGTAAGTCTAATGCACAAGACTCTGTGAGAAGTTATTATAAGGAAGTCTACAAATATTGCAAATATGCCAAACTGAATGTGGACAAATGCTCAAAGTATGGAACAGAGACAAAATGCCCTCAGGGAAGACTTGGATTAACAATGAAGGCTTTAAGGAGGAGGAAGAACTTGCGCTAGGCCTTAAAGGATGAATGGACAGAATAATTGATGGAGGGCATCCAAGATAGAGGGGATAGAAGAGCAAAAGTATGGTTGGTTGAGCTAGCACATAAAGAGCTGGCAGGTGGTTATTGACCTGAAAATTTTCAATAAAGGTCGATACACCATAAACAAAGAAAAGAAAAAAAAGCAGGTGGAGGGGCGATGATGGAGACCGATAGGAGATAAGGTTGGAGAGAATTTATGGAAGCCTGCTGGGGGGATGTGGAAGGAAGAGGAATATCTCTCTGCTTTGGGAGCTCCTATTGGTTCTTTGCTCTGTAAGTCAAGCAGGTTTTGGATAGGGGTTATAGAGACAGTATTTTAGGCTGGGGTCAACTGAGGCAGGAGTTCTGTTTCTTGTGGTCACTGAAGTGTTTTTATTTTTTAGGTCTTGTTGGTCCTAAGGGTGAAACTGGTGAAACCGGAGCGATTGGGTTTGAAGGCCCCCGAGGCTTTCCGGGAGCCCAAGGCAGGAAAGGAGAACCTGGAGAAAGTGCCTTTGTATACCGCTCAGCATTCAGTGTGGGATTGGAGGCCCGAGTCACTGTCCCTAATGTTCCCATTCGCTTTACCAAAATCTTCTACAATCAACAAAACCACTATGATAGCACCACTGGCAAATTCCATTGCAACATTCCTGGGCTATACTACTTCTCCTACCACATTACAGTCTACTTGAAGGATGTAAAAGTCAGCCTCTACAAGAAGGACAAGGCTGTGCTCTTCACCTTTGACCAATACCAAGACAAGAACTTGGACCAAGCCTCTGGCTCTGTGCTCCTCTATCTGGCGTCGGGTGACCAAGTGTGGCTCCAAGTGTATGGGGATGGGGAACATAATGGGCTCTATGCAGATAATGTCAACGACTCCACCTTCACAGGCTTCCTTCTCTACCATGATATCAACTGATCACCACTAACTCAGAGCCTCCACTGGGCCAAACAAGCCAAGTCAAAGAACATTACACAGGCTTTCAGTGTAGTTAGGAGGTTGATGTTATTATCTCGTTGAAGGGCTCTGAACATTATTCATTCATTTACTCATTCATTCATCAAGTACCTTTAAAAAAATTATATATACTATGTTCCCAGTTCTAAAGAAGACGTGTTCCCTGACCTCAGGGATCTGGTATTTAGTGGCAATAAAAGAATAAAGAATTTACTGGGGAGTGTCGCATATGACGAGATAACCGACTATGACAAAGTATTTGGCAGTGCTATTGTGTGCCCACTGTTTCTCCTCCTGTTCATGCTAATCCGGTGAGGTACACAGAAAAAATATTATTCTCCTCTTTTTTGACTCGGGGTCCTGAGGCTGAGAGAGTTAAGGGAATGCCTAAGGTCACACAGGTATTAAATGGTGGAGCTGGAAATCACACCAGGGCCATGGATCTTTTCTATTACACCGTGTATGTGGCCTCTTTGGGATGTCAGTCGGGGGTCTCTCATCCATCTCACCTGAGGGCCTCTGAATTGGTCTTCATCATGAATTAAGCCTTTCCCCAGTAGAGCTCCCTCAGAACAGGTGGTTCTATGACCAGGCCCCACTCCAGCTGGACTACTCAATGGCTCCTGCACTACTCTGTACTGTCTTTTTCTCTGTGTCTTTCCTCATGCTCTTGTCTGCAGACCAGAAAGCCACCTCCATCTCCACATGCTGAAATGTTCCCTGTTCCTCAAAGCCACCTGGTCAGGAAACTTCTCTGACGTGATTTTGCTTTCCTGCAAACCTTCCTCGTACACTGTGCCCCTGTGCTCCTTCACGTGTTATCGTGGATGACAGTCCTGGGTATGGGAGACATCCCCCCACCAGGCCAGGGACAGCTTCCCTGAAGGACCATGTTTACTTCACTTCCAAGTCCCCTTGATGGTCCTTGATCAAAGCCTCATGAAGACCAGTCTCTTGAACCTCACCTTTACCCAGAATTAACTCTTTTCATATAACTATTCAGTCTCTTTATATAAATAATCCTTATCTACAAAAACATTTTCATTTTCAGAATTCCCTGATTTTAAGCACCTAATCCCTGTTCCACCAGACAGTTTGAATCGTTTCCACTGAGGTTAGGGATGACTGTGCCTTCCAGAATACTTAAAGAATTTTCCCTCAAGGAGGTAGCTTGAGCCTGCAATGCAAAACCCACGAAGGAATTTGGAAACCATTCTTCCCTTGAGTGCCAACAGGGTCTGGAAAGACCTGGGCCTTCAGAATCTGTTCTTGTTCTTTTAAGAATTACCAAGAAAAGAGAAATAAAAGAAAAGGAAAAAAGAAATTAATAATTGTCTGAAGTGATAGATCTGATAATTAGCTTGATTATAGTGATTATTTCACAGTGTATACCTATATCAAATCATCAAATTGTACACCTTAGATATATACAATTTTTAGTTGTCAAATAGTCCTCAAAAAGAAAAAAAGGAATTACGAATGGCTGATAGTGGTAAACATTCTCACAGGAGACAATAGCTTGAGCAATACTCTTCAAAGTTTTCAGTAAAAGCAGAGTTAATAGCATTCTGTATAAATATAGACATGAAAAACCTATTTTTTTGCTTACAGTCTTAAATCCTGAATGATTACTTTTTATGTGTGTATTACTATTCATTAAGTGATGATTATTTCTACATATAAAGCTTTGTCTTTTAAAATACTTTCATATTGTTATTTTCTACAAGTAAAGATACTGCCCATCATTAAAATAGAATCACTTGAATCACACGGCTTTTGTTTTCATTTTTGGAGAAAGACATGGGGTTTAGAGAGGAATGAAGGAGTAAACCTTATGTTAGTCAGAACTCTGTGTTGTGAATGATCAAAAATTTAACTCAAATTAATTTAAGCAAAAAAAATTTTGTTTTTTTTCATAACGGAAAATACCAGAGCTGTTCTGTCAACCAGAGGCTCAAATGATATCATTAAAGTCCTTTTTCTGTCTATCCTTCCACTCTGCCTTCAACAGTGTAAGCTTCCCCCTCACACGCTACATAGCATAGTTCTAGGCTCTCCCTCATGATATCACAAAGACTAGCCTGCCAGCCATCATATCCTCCCACCACATCATCTGGCCAAAGGGACATCCTCTTTTCTAGTGGTTCCCAAAGAGGAAAGAAGAAGGTCTCTTTCCTGGAAGCCCTAGCAAGCATGTCCTTGCATCTCGTTGGCTCTGGCTGGGTGGTATACTCATCTCTGACCAGCTACTAGTGTCAGGAGGGTGGACTATACTTATTGACTTAAGTTGATCATTGCTTAAGCTGGGGAAGGGGTATTTTCCCTAAAGCAAAATCTGGATACAGTTACCAGAAGTGGCAGAACAGATGATGAATGTAAAAAACAACACCTGTTCACAACAAACTGTTAATGTTACATTTGAGTTTTCTCAGGTTTCTCAGACAGATATTCCTGGAAAATTACTATTGATTTTCTCTATAGTTTCATCTAGTAGTAGCTAATGTCCAGCCATGTTCACAGTCCCATATCTGGCTAGGGTGGGATCCTCACAGCACGGGACATGATGTCACACTTACTCTAAACCCTCTGGAGCAGGATCATTTCTTTGTTGTAACAGAGAGGGGTAATCTTCATAACACCTACTAAGAAGAGCAATTGTGGCCAAAACTTTAGGATTAATGGTCTCATGATGTTCAAGTGTAACTGTGAATTTGTCTATTTCTGCTCAACTCTGTCAGCTTTTGCTTCCTGTATTTTGGAACTGTCTTGTTACGTACATACACATTTAGGATTACATCTTCTTGGTGAATTTACCCTTTTTTCATTATATAATGTGCATCTTTATCACTGCTAATTTTCCCTATTTTGAAGTCTACTTTGTCTGAAGTTGATATAGGCACTCTATCTTTCTTTGGATTATGGTTTTCATGGGATGTCTTTTTCCATCATGTTACTTTACATCTATCTTTACTACTATATTTAAAATAGGTTTTCTTATAGACTGCATGTGATTGAGTTTTGTTTTTTATCCAGTCTGAAAATCTCTCTCTTTTAATTTGTGTTTAGACTATTTATATTTAATATAATTGCAGTTATGGTTGGATTTAAAGCTATTGTTTTATTTGTGTACTATTTGCCCCCTCTATTTCATTCTCTTTCCTGGCTTCTTTTGGATTATTTGAATACTTCACAATATTTCATCTTAATTTATTTGCTGGCTTTTGGGCTGTATGTCTTTGTGGTACTTTTTGAGTAGTTGCTCTAAGGATTATAATGTATATATCTAACTTTTCATAATCTACATAGAACTAATATTTTACCACTTCAAGTAAAATGTAGAAACCTTATAACCACATAGGTTGTTTATCCTACTGTTTTACGTTATAGTTGTCATATATATTACATCTAGATACATTGAAGCATTGCAATGTTATAATTTTTGCTTCCAACAGACATACATATTGTAAAGAATTTAAGAGGACAAAATACTCTTTATCCAGATATTCATCATTTCTTTTGTTCTTTCTTCATTCCTAAAGTTCTGCGTTTCCCTCTGGTGTAATTTCCCCTCATTCTGAAGAACTTTCTTTAGCATTTCTTTTAAAACAAGTCTGCTGGTGATAAATTCTCTTAGTTTCCTTTCATCTGAGAATGTCTTTATTTTGCCTATATTCCTGAAGGATTTTTTCTTTTTTTAAAGATTTTTATTGGGGAATTGGGGGGATGGGAACAGTGCTGGGGAATTGGGGGAAGGGGAACAGACAAGTTGCTGT